AAGTCGTAGAACAACCGTGTTCAAGTTATCTCGGAGATTAATGGATTCAAATACCGTCAATGTTTTATTTTTGATCAATGTTTTTAAAAGAATACACACTGTTATTCTAATGAGTTTCCGCAAATTTTCCCGAGTGATTTAAAATAAATAAAAGAAAATTTGACTTAAAACGCATCATATCCGAAATCTAAGCTCAGATTCGGCTTCCTCGTGAAAAATCGATGCAATATCATGTATCATATGTCACCATATCATGAAGGAAAGAGATTAACGTAGGCGTGTAGATTCTAACATATCAGTCCGACGTGGCAACATGGGTGATTCGGAGTGGGTCAGCTGATGAGTAAGAAGAAGTTTGTTTTCTCGGAAACGGACGAACCAAATGCTTGACGCCGGCGTCTGGCGGCGTAGCTCAAGCGTTTGAATTTTGTGCCTACTTCCGCATACCGGCCGGCTTTGATAGAATCTTTACGCCTACGATTACCGTCTTTTCTTTATGCTATGGCAATATATGATACATGAAATAGCATCGATTTTTCACGAGGAAGCCGAATCTGAGCTTAGATTTTGGGTATGATGTGTTTCAAGTTGAATTTTCTGAATTTGAAAATTTAAGACGGCGGACGTAGCCTAAATTGATACATCGTCACCTTCCAGGCAAAGTATCACAAGCGCCACGCGACGTTTAAAAATTTCCGCCGCCGTTTTATTTTTTTACAAAGAACTTGTTCGACGAAGCTGATCCAAAAATTTCACTGAATTTTCTTCGTGCTGCCGATAAAATTCAGTGAAACTTTCAAACAGATTCAACCAACAATTTCTTTGTAAAAAAATAAAATGGCTGTGGAAATTTTTAAACGTCGCGTGGCGCTTGTGATACTTTGCCTGGAAGGTGACGACATCGGCTCCCATTCCATCGATTAAATTCAAATTCTTAGTCTACCTAATTTCGAAAATTCGAAAAACCAAGGTGGCGGGCGTGGCCTAAAACGCTATCTCGGTTCCTGCTCGTCGAATTTTCGTAAAACTTGGTGCCAAAGGGAGGGGGGAGGAAAGAAATTTTCAAACAGTGCAATCTATATGTCGCAGGCAAATAGTAAAATTAGGCATTTTGTCAAATGCCTAGGCAATTAGTCAAATACTAGGGGGCTATGCCCCCTGACCGCTACGCGGTCCAACCCCCCGAAGGCGCTCCGCGCCATCAATTGGCAACTTCGAGGCCCTATTTTTACCTTCTATCAGTGTTAGTTTTATTTTTCCCCACAAAAATGACGATATGAGGTATAGTTTACTTTTAGAATGAAATAATTTTTGGTTTTGATGAATATTTTAGTTCGTTTTATTCCGTTCTTTTTTAAATCAGTGAAGAATTTAACATCGTTCGAGTTTCTGAATTGTTGTAATAAATGCCCTTTAATTATCATTAAAACCGAGCAGAGTCAAGAATAATTAATTGCGCGAAGTCATATAGTTTTGCGGCGACTTTACCGTCGCCCGAGCCAGGGACGGGAAAAGGAGTACGCAGTACGCTCCACGAACATATTACACGCTTATCAGTCACACAAGGTGGGTTGAATATGAATTCTTGAAAATGTATCAACATACTTTCCCTAATCAGCCCATATCTGATTGCATTTTTTGGTGACTCAATGTTGGTAAAGCGTAAAAAATTGACGGAGCAGAGACTACTAACAAAATACTTCAATTGAGTTATCTGAGATGGTGACCTTCATAATCAACAAGTTTATAATTTGCACTAACGCGTTCTGTAGTTTTTTTTTTCTTTTTTTTTCTGCTGGTTTAATGGCTTCGTGTCTAGCACCTTCAGCCAACCTTAGACAATGTTTAGTGTCCGTAGACATCGTGGGATCTCCATGCTCCAGGCTTTTCCCATTTTCAGGGATTAGGGCCGAGGAGAATCTGTTTCAGCAGATCTACTCGTCAATTCCATGAAAATTAGACGCCACCACCGGGATTCGAACCCGGGACCTATTGACCTAGAGTCCGACGCGCTGACCACTAGGCCAACCTGGCCGGCTTCTGTAGTTCAATGAGCCCACTTAACCAGTAGCATCAACCAAAAACAAGATAGGTGAAGCGCAAGCGCACTCTTTGGTGCAATGAGTCAACTTGATGGAGCAGTTTACCATCAATTTTGTCTCGGTGAACAGATTTGTAATAGCTAGTAGCAACTAATTGAAAATGACTGATTTCCCTAAAGACGTTGTGGACAATACAATGCCGTTGGTTATTCTATCAATTTTTTCATGCATGTATACGGCACCAACTTTTAATTAACAAAATCAAGATGGTTATCCGCGCACAGTCATTTTTTTCCATGATCACACCTCCATCGAGCACATTCTAAATATTAATTTTGATTTCTCACCCACCCCCTTATACACTAACTTTTCAACATATATAGACAAAACAATTTAAAACTTGCGAGTTTTTCTGTATGAAATTCAGCAACTTTTGTAACCAATAATTATCGTAAGGAGGGCGAGTGGGAGTAGACTTTGAACGTGTTTTTCGAAAATGTTCAATTTGCAAATTTACGACTTACGCCTTTAAATTCGATGCAAGAAAAAAGCAAAACATATGCACGCCTTTTGTTGGTCTCAAAAAAGCTTTCAGGGAGATAATTTGAGTTAAACTATTAGTGTGCAATTGATTTTTATCCTCAACCTTTAAATATAATGGTAATTTTTTCTCTATTAATTTGAACTTTATATATCGTCACCTTCCAGGCAAAGTATCACAAGCGCCATGCGACGTTTAAAAATTTCCGCCGCTATTATACTTTTTTACAGAGAAATTGTTCAACGAAGCTGTCCGAAAATTACACCGAATTTTCTTTGTGCTGCCGATAAAATTTAGTGAAATTTTCGAACAGATTCAACCAACAATTTCTCAGTAAAAAAATAAAATGGCGGCGGAAATTTTTAAACGTCGCACGGCGCTTGTGATACTTTGCCTGGAAGGTGACGATATCTCGGTAGAACCGCGTCTGCAGGTGCAATGTGTGTTTCCACTTACGATTCCAATTTGGACATTACTTTTCAATTTCACATCAAACATTAACTTTTCAATAGACAAAACGCTCACACATATTTCAGAGTTACGCCCTTATTACGGAGAGTGATGGGGGGGGGGGGGGGGGGGGGGGTAGTAGAGGAACCTATTTTTGAGGGTTTCCTCTTGAATACCTTAGTAATTGTCTTTCCATTGCACCTGAAAACTTTTGCACGCCTGCCAATACCTGATTGACCGAATAAATCAAATACAAGTAAAAAAATTTAATCTGTGAAACACAGCTGCATATTTTCGAATAAGTTATCATCGTGCTCATTTGTTTTAGTAGCGTGTGTTTGTGATGCGTTTCAAGTTCTGTAATTGTAAAGCTTTGATTTGATGAAAATG